CACAGCAAGAATCAAGAAAGGATATGGAAGCAAAGCAGGAAGCGGAAAAAAATGAAGAAGACGGCAGCTAAAGCGAGCCAAAAGGAAGAGGTGGACGTACCTTGCAATAACACATATGCTGGAGCCGTTCAGGGAGCGGCATCATCGTCTAAAAACAGTAGCAATTTGGAGCTGTCAATGGTCAGGTTAGCCTCAGCCGGGGTGTCCAGCCCGAAGCAGATTCAGGATTCAGAGGTTTCCATCGTTGAGGTGTTGGAGGAACAAGAAGCAAGTGTCGTGGACAAGCCCGCTGAAGCTGAAAAAGTACCGGAACAGGAGTCGAGCGATGAGGAGATGACCGACGGACAAGAGCGGTCGAACAAGCGACCCCTTGTTTCAAGCAGCAAATCGGAATCAGAGGAAAACGGCCAGGATTTCGTCACGGTTGATAGCAAGAGCAGGAAATCTCGTAAGCAGAAGCGCGGCGGTGGTTTGCCAACGGAGCAGAACCCGCTGGAAGTGATAGCTGCAGGGTCCAGTAGCGAAGCTAGATCTAAAAGTTCCAGATCACTTCGAAGTATGACGAATCGATCACGCTCTCGAAGTGGTGTGAAGGTAAGCAAGGCTGATCTTCGGAAGTGTTAGTGACAATCGAGATCAGCTGACTTTGACATATGACGACATTGGCAAGCAACGTCAAACGGACCTTCTTTATCGATAATACGTAACACCCGTTACTGAATACTCGATACTTTGTAAACAAAGAGATGAATTACGTAAGGAAAATCTGTACTGTGAATATTAATTGCTCAAGGAATTCATCATACGCCACGATTTGGATGCTGTTTTCCTGCAAGAAGTGTCGTTCAATGATTTTAGCTTTCTGCCTTCACATCACGCAATTGTCAACCGTAGTGAGCAGAACGTTGGTGCAGCAATACTTATAAGGAAAACTATTCCTTTCGAGCAGATCATGATGGACCCATCTGGACGCATCATCTCCGTTGTTGTCGACGGAGTGAACTTAGTGAATATTTATGGTCACTCTGGAACGCAATACAATGTCGAAAGGGATGATCTTTTTCAAAATCTGATATCCCCGCACTTAAGCAAAGGAAATTTAATGATCTTGGGAGGGGACTTTAACTGCATCCTGGATACGTTAGACAGCAAAAGTAAAAACAAGAGCTGCTGCAAAAGGCTGCGCACTCTAGTAAACCTGTTTAAGCTAGAGGATTTGGGATCCGCAGGCCGCCAATACACCTTCTTGAGGCATAATTCTGGCTCCCGATTAGACAGATTTTACTGTGACAAAGATTTTGTTCATCGAGCTAAAAAGTACGAGACTCTTCCAGTGCCCTTCTCTGATCATCACGCGGTAGTGCTTACGTTTGAAATCAACCCACAGGATGCCACTCCCATCCTTGGAAGGAGCCATTGGAAGATAAACGATTTTCTACTCAAGGATGAAGGCACATCTGAAGGTTTCATTCGAGTCTTGGCAGAGCTAAGGCAACGTCGCAAACACGAGATGAACTTTTCGGAGTGGTTGTCGTACGATTTCAAAAGCAAGGTAAAACATTACTACAAGAACAAGTCTTATGAGTTCAAACAAACTAACGCAAGGAAGAAGGCAAAACACTACAATAAACTAAACAAATTGATGGAACAGCAAGCAAAAGGTTTAAACGTGCTGGAGAGGATGAACGCGGTCAAGTCTGCTATCGTCGATGTCGAAGAGCAACGTCTTTCCAGTTTCCGCGGAAAGGTGCAACCGTCAACAATGCTTGAAAGCGAAAAATTGAGCATGTATCAAGTTTCGAAATTAGTAAAACGCGGTCACAACACACCAGTGATGAGTCTGCACTCACCAGATGGTCTAACTACAAAGCAATTAGTACATAATCACTTTGAGGAACAGTTCCGGAAGTCGCAAAACCAGCAAGCAGATTATGCTGCGCTTCAGCACGTTCGCAAATCGTTACCTCGAGATCTTGGAGTCAACCTTGTGTCACCAATAGAAGAAGAGGAGCTTCGCGTAACTATTCAAAATGCAACAAAAAATAAATCACCTGGGCCTGACGGTCTAACTTACGAATTTTACGAGAAACACTTTCATTCTCTCAAACAAGATCTGTTGCGTCTCTTCAATGGATTTTTGGATGGCTCCATTCCTATGCAAGAAAACTTTGCGAAGGGAATAATCATTTTAATTCCGAAGTCGAAGGATCGAAATGACTTGCAGAACTATAGACCGATCAGTTTGCTGAATACAGACTACAAGATTCTCACCAAAATTTGTGCAAGCAGACTCAAGGCTTGCATGAATTCACTAGTAGGTGAAGGTCAAACTGCAGGGCTGGAGGGGAAGTCTTTTGTGCAAAACCTGGATAAGATAAGAACGGTCATAGCAAGGATGCAGCAGAGTAAACGAGTAAAGATCACGCTACTCAGTGTGGATCTTCAGAAAGCTTTCGATTCGGTGGACCATGGTCGGCTTTGGGAAACACTGGAGAAACTCAAAATTCCAACGCAGTTTATAACATTCATCCGGAGACTGTATGCCGATGCGTCATCACAAGTTATGGTGAATGGGTTTCTCACTGCTTCCATAAAAATCGATCGTTCCGTGCGGCAGGGTTGCCCACTCTCGATGCTTTTGTTTTCGCTCTATGTGGAACCTCTCATCCGTCAACTTCATGATAGTACGTTAGGCTTAATGATTGATGGTAACGTGATAAAACTAATGGCATACGCAGACGATTTAACGTTGATCGTGAGGAGTGACAAGGAATTTGATCTTGTAATGTCTGTCATAAATGAGTTTGCACTACAGGCTGCTATATGTATTAACTTTGAGAAATCGGGTTATATTAGATTCAACAACTGCAAGCTGGGCCCCCAAATGATCCAAGAGAAACAACAAATGAAAATATTAGGAATAATAGTTAAAGACAAATGCTAATCAAAACATATTATCCTTAAACAGTAAAAAATGGATTGAAGATGCAAAAAAACTATCAAACAATAATTGTATAGAAAATAATAGGAGTTTATACTAATATAGTAACAGGTTTCCTAATGACTACTGACTACTGATATTAGGCAGAATATAATTTTTCAACAAACACGTGTCGGTCGAATTAGGATTTATCCCAGGCTACTATTGTAGAAAAACGTAATTGATTGATATTGGGCGGAACGCGTCGGAATGTTTAGAAAAATAGGGCACACGTTTGATCCGGTTTAAGATACATTGTTGACTGCTTTCGGGAACGTGATTTCATTATAATAACTTGTTTACTTGTTTAACTATTGAACGTCGCGTGAAAGTGGAACTTAATGAAGGCATCAGTGCTTTTTCGTAACTTTTAGTTTTCGGATTAGAAAAATCATCGGTTGCAGGACAGTGTTACCGATTTATATTGGATAATCCAAAGCTATGTTGATCATTATAACATTAAATTTTGAATAACAAATGATAAGACAATCTTATTCAAATGTCGTAATAATACCTCTGACCAAGGAAAAATGATTTATATAGTTTTCATAAAAATTTACGATACAAATACTAATGAGGAAAGGAATTCCGCATTTCCTTTTTCCCAAGTCCTTTTCCTCTCCTTCCCTTCCCTTCTTCTCTTTTCAGAAAGCGAGTAATGGCGCTATAACCATATGCCATATAGGGCTAGGACAAGAGTTAGTGCTCAGGTCCCAACCGCTAGAAGAAAATGGTAGCGAGCAAGGGCGCTATAACCTAGGCGAATACAGCATTCCCTCCGTATAGGTTACGTCCGCACACCGCTCTCTGTTGTCCTTCGACTGAGGTCGGCTGGATCGATTGAGGGATGGCAGTGGGTTGGCGGTGCCGTCCACGCTTGTACGGAGGGAGGACTGTACGGGGTAAATACCTGTGTTCCATCCCAGGAGATCGGACAACCAAGGAGTGTACATTAACTTTCTTAGCTCTGTCACTCCCAACGATTTATATAGCCTATTTTCAAATCCTGCATACGGAGCGGTTGGTACGGTATGTCCCCGCTCTTTGATTACCTGTGGATTAAATGTTAACCACTGTCTATACTTATTAAGTAGACATGGTAAACATTCACTTCCACAAAAATTAACTAAACGCTACACAGTAGGCCTGGCCGCTTTATTGTTTGTTTCACATCCTTGATGTGCAGCAGGCATTAATAATGACAAGAAAAATGATAGATGTATCATTTTCCAGGATTCTTTCAAGTACTGGCTGTGTATGTGTAGACTAGACTAGACTAGACTAGACTAGAAAATAATAGGAGTTTATACAACTATTTCATAAGCGAAATGAAAACACAACCAATAATTCAGGAAAAGTATCCACATACGTGGTGGGACTGCATATGGGAAAATATTAATCAAAGTTTCCTCAGTTCAAATGCTAGATCAATTCTTTATCTTGTTTTCAATGATGTTATTCCAAACAAAGTTAAATTGTATAACTATACTGACAAAGTTAATAATAACCTCTGCGAAATTTGCAAAAAGCCTGATACAAACATTCATCGAATAAAAAAATGCAACCATTCCGGGTTAGTCTGGAAATGGATACAAAATGTCATAGCAAAAAATCTAAAAATCAAACTGCAATCACCAGAAGAAATTTTGTATTACGGTATATCGAAGAAAAGCCATAAAAAGAAAGCAGTATTATTTATAGTAGTTGAGGCAATGGCGTATAACGTTATACATTACAAAAATCTAAGTTTATATTCTTTTCAAAAAATAATAAGGGATTATAGATGGAATAACAGAAAAGCATTCAATATAAACTTTAAAACATATCTTAACATCTGTTAACTAAATAACCAATGTTAAGATTTTCAGTCATAATTATTACTATTTGTGTTTATAGATGCTACATGAAACAGTTATAATTTTTATATTTTTATAATACTCAGATAATAAAGACAATTTGTTAAAAAAAAACTACTGCTCACCAAAGCTAACCAGAAAACCTTTTTCCCTTCCTCCCCCAGCAAACTCCACCTACGCGGTCGCAACCACGGAATCCCTCGAGACGTCCAGCTCCAACGAGGCCATGTACAAATCGAACAGCATGCGTCAGGTGGTCACCTCGGACGGTGGCTGGCTCGAGCTGAACCATCTCCAAACATCGCTTTCCATCCCGGAGGGAGCGCTCCCGGAAACCCTCAAGATCAACGTGTTTCTCGCCGTCATGTACGACTCCAAAGATACGATTCTAGTCGAAAACCAAATCACCCACATCAGCCCGACGATCGTCTGCGGTCCGGCCAAGAGCAGCTTCTCCAAGCCGCTGATCCTCAAGGTGCCACACTGTGCCGAAGATATCAGCAATTGGAAAATCTCCCTCTTCTACAAGGAGGAAGTGACGAACTGTTGGAAGAAGATTGCATCGTCGGAAAATGACGTCCCTAGTCCGCAGGCTTACATTCAGCTCGACCTGAAGAATGCCTACATCATGACCCGAAAGCTGGGCAAGTACATACTCGGAGGGGAAAACCTCTCGCCGGACGTCTCCGTTATGAAACGACTTAAGATTTACATGTTCGGCCCCAGCCGGAAGCCGGAAACGGATTTCAACATTCGCGTCTACATCCTGGAAGACTATCCCAGTGCGCTGGAGCATTGCTCGATCATCGAAAGCCGAATGGGCTACTTCATGATTGGCCAGAGTTCACCGTTCCACTTTCTCAACAACAAGCAGAACATGATCCTCAGGATCAACTGTTCCGGTGGATGGACATCGAAGGTCGATACCGCTACTCAGAGGATTCCCTTCAATCACGTGTGGAAGAACATGTCAATTTTGCACTGTGAGTTCATGCTGCAGAAGGTGGTCAACGAGATTCCCTGCCTGAGGGTGGAACTGGCCGTCGAGCAGGAGAACGGCACGAAAGTGCTCATCACGTCGGTGGCATTTTCGTGATAGTACATGCGGAAGGCTCTGGAAAAGTTGATGACGATCTAGCGGAGCGAGCGGTCAAGGTTATGGACGATCGACGAAGGAACAAAAGAACGGTATTCATCGTGTAGCCTCTGATGGTGTAGTGATATTATTGAATCCAAGCAAATGGGGACGCATTCCCGATGGATGTAGGTGTAAGCGTGTATAAGGTAGGAAAATATTTATTGGAAACAGCAGGATTACGACGAACTAGATTCGAGTAGGATGTGTATTGCCCGAATCGAAGTGCGCTATTGTTTATCGACAGTTGCAGTAAGTAAACTTGTTATTACGAATGTGCATTCAAAGGTTAGTCTGTAGGATCGATAAGCCAAACAGAGTTGAAAACACGGTAAGTCGAAAAATGTTCAAAACCATGAAGAAAGAGAAGAATGGTGTAGATTAAATTAGTAGTTGTTAAATAAGACTGATCGTGAGGAACAATAAAGAGTTGGAAAATAGAGTCTATGTTTTCAATTAACGGTCGATTGATGACATTCGAATGGTTCCACTTTCTACCAGGTTTATACATTGAGTTCCTTGTTTCCTGTTTTTCAGTCATACACAATATTTTCCCCACAGTTCCAATGCAAGTACATATTTGTAACTATCATTAATCTACAGAACTAGTAAGTATTTTTTAATGAATACGTTTATTTGTTAAGGCTTGGAGCAAAGAAGAATACTAAGATGAAACAGTATGACGAAAAACTTTCTATTTTAGTGTCCTCTTTCACGGTCTTTTTCATCCAATATGCAAGGTAATTTTGTGGTTTTGCTGCCCCCTCGGTAGAGATGAAATTTTGCGCTTTATCAAAATAATCACACCAAAATCAGAGATGTCTCATTCTTTAATTACTCGATTAGCAACTAATCGATTTTTGTTTGTTCGCTGTGCTGTCATTTTTCCACCAATTAGAGTACAGCACATGTTTGAAACGATGGGTGATGATCCTTTGCAGAAGTTGATTGTTTTTCCTTGCCTTGTTTTCCGTCGATCTTGATTTCCGTGCTGAGCACCAATGCTACCGAAGCCATGAGGTAGCTCCTATACCTGGACCCTACCTATTGACCTATCAGCTCATGAACCGGGGACCAACGGCAGAGATGTTATGTCTCAGAACATCTCGGCGCCGCCGACTGGGATTGAACGCAGGCCTACTGGGGTGAGAGGTAATCACGCTTACCACTACACCACCGGCGCCGCTGGAGAAGTTGATGGTTAGCATGATATAACCGACTTCAAATATTTTACTTTTCCGTTCGTTAATCGATTAACCGATTATTCGAATGAAAATCGGCCATCACAAGATGAATGTGAAACGTCATTTCAAATATAAGGACCGTACATAAATAATGATACAATTTGAATGGGACCGGGACTAATCACAAATTACGTCCCCATGGTAACTGAAATAAATACGAGTGCTGACCGGTGGCTTGGAAGCTCTATCTACTGAATTGTTCTGTTTTCTCCCGTGTGGTAAAACGTGGATTTTAATAACTCTGCCATTGCCAATTCGGTTTCAACGAACCCTGTGGATTATAATGATGCTATTGAAATACGTCAAATAGCAACATTTCAAACTTGCCATTCCACATTTTTACGAATTGATCGGTGGAATGTTGACAAATGTTATTTCAGAGATTATTCATTGATCAACAAAGTTTTGACGGCATCCCTAAGCTCAGACAGTAATGACACAGCTATAAAAGCTAGACCATGTTGGAGGTTGTTGGGTTTGATTCCCGGTCCAGTCTTGGAATTTATTGGGTTGTAAGATTTCTTGACTTTCCTGGATATATAGTGTGATTGTACTTACCACACAAGTATACTAATGTAAATATGGTACAGGCTTAGAAGTTTCAAAAAATTCAGGAATGTTCCGAGAGCTACAGGATGATTCAGAAGTTTATGAAGCAGGGACATCAATACCAGAGGTGAGTACCTTTTAGATTATATTTCTAACAATGATATAGATATATGTAACAGAGGAGATGCTCCAACCTTTATAAATGCAATTAGATAAGAAGTTCTTGATTTGACTTTGTGTAGTCCAATAATCTCAGACAAAATCAAAAATGGTCATGTGTCAGACGAAAAATCTTTGTCTGATCACAAGTAAATATTATTTGAATATGAGGCTGGTGAACAGCTCACAAAAACTTTTAGAGATCCTAGGAAAACAGATTGGGAGGTATATAATTCAGAGCTAGTTCCAGGAAGAGACACGATAGCAATTACACTTGTGAATAACTTGAGAATCGTTCTAAACAACTTTCAAATTTGATCCAACATGAGAGTTGCATCGAAAAGGAACGCTCTACAAACAGGGATGTACTTTGGTGGAACAACAGGCTACAGACACTTCCTAAAAAAAAGCCCGGAAGCTTTTTAATAGGGCTTAACGAACACAACAGTGGGAGCAATATAAGGAATCCCTCACTGCTAATAATCCAGAAATACGGAGATCAAAGAGGATACACTGGAAGCATACATGTGAGAACATTGAAAATACTCCAGCAACTGCTAGGTTGCAGAAAATACTCGCTAAAGATCATTCCAATGGTCTGGGCACTTTGAAAAAAGAGGATGGCTCTTTTGCTACTTCTACAAATGAAACGTTAGAGTTGATGATGAGAACGCATTTTCCATGATCTATTATTAATTCTAACGAAGATCAAAACGCAACGACAACAGTTAGACATTTTTTTTTAATCTTTATTATAGAGATTCCTAAGAAACCAAAAGTTCTGATAAAAGGCTATTTGTGGCTTAAGCAGCTTGGTTGAAGGTGGTCTATAGAATTCTAAGCAGCCTGATTTTTAAGTTGCAATAAGAACTTGAAAGTGATGTGATTGCAGCGATGAAAGTGATGTGATTGTAGTGATGAAAATACCCGACAAGGAAAAAAAACTTCAAAACAACTACATAAAACTTCAAGGAAGTAAAAAGAGCTTTATGAAAGATTGGAGAGCTATAAATAGTTCCATAAAGTATCATAAAATGGAGGGACCTTAAGGGAAGTTTCAAAAAGTTCAGGAATATTTTCAGAACATAAAGCATTTTCGATTTACTTTGAAGAAAAAAAAATACAAGAACTTTTGAGATGTTCCAAAAACAACGTCCAGGGAACTTCAAATAAGTTTTGAGTCTCATGAATTTCAGGAAAATAGAGGGAACTCAATAGAAAACAATTGAAAGTATCATTTTAGTACTCTTAATATCAGAAAAAAATAAGGTTCAAGCAAGTTCCGTACATTTCAGGACAATTTCTAGAACTTTTGTGAAGATCAAATAGCTTCAGTGCAGGTCTATGGTTACTAGACTGCTCAAACGGTTCCAAATCGGGTCCTGATTACCCTCCCAAAATTGGAACTCATTTGAAAAGAAACTGACCTGGTATAGATCATTTGTATGGAAATTAATACGTGAAAACCAAATGTTTTGCTCATATCTATCTAACAATTCACCACCCAGTCAACATTTTGGTCCGTGTAATTCCGGATATTTAAAGTGATATATGAACCAAACAAGTCGTATAAGATGCACAGATTTGATGAATATGTACGTTCCAAACTGGAGGCCATATACATACATACTGGCTTTCCAGTAACCTTCGTATCCAGAAACCACTACTGTATCCACTATATAAGCACTTATAAGTACGAAGGATTATATCAGTGATAAATTATGCGCTACAAAAAGCCTACTTGGAATTGGAAATATTTTGAAATTGATGAAAATCATCAGATTATGTTAACGGTTCGATCTTGAGTTGGTTCAGAATCTACGGCACCTCGACCCAATAGAGAGGTGTAACCGCAATTTTGCATTAATTTCGTCTTGAATTGCTACAAGATGGAATGCTTTTATATACTCATGGGATTTTGATTTGCGACTATCTCAAATTCGATCTAGTGTGCACATTCTTATGTTATCAGTGGTTATCTGGAGAAGCATGACAAGTTAAATGAAAATGAGTTGTCATCGATTTGATAAGCCATAATTTACGATCTTATCTGTTATAACAATGTCAGCCTCAAAAACCATACAACTTCATCCGAGTTTATTTGTGCTACGTTACGATACAAAAATGGATCGTCGCCAATAGGTCGAAAGTTTGCATTCTTTGCGACTTAACTTAAACTTTATACGACGCATCTCATTCTTGTATGCGATGTTGACTTAATTTAGACCAATTTACGATTCTATTTGTACGCTGGTATACGACTTTTGGTTGTCTGGGCATATCACTTTGGTTTAAAAACTGATAACTGAGCTCATAGCAAATTTTCTCAGCTACAACTTTGTTCCAAACTAATTTCCGATATAATTTAAGCATCAAAAGTTAATAATGATTCAAGCCACTAATATTTTATGAGTATGCTCAATCTACTGTTCAGCAGGCAACATAAGTGCTCTGGCGCATAGAATAGAGCACAAAAATCATGGCTACTATGTTACACTGCAGTATACAGTGTTGCCCACAAAACAGCTGTTTGATAAGATGCCATAAGATTTTCAATCTGTTGAACAATTAATAACTATTTTACTATAACTACTATATATAACTTACTATAACTATCTTCTAAGTTGTAGCTGAGAAATTTTTCCATAAGAAAAGCTATAGAACTTTTGAAAAGTGCAATATGGAAAAAGGCTAGAAGACAACGAGCAAAAAGTTTGGATTTCCCATAGTAATTTCCATTTAAACTTCAAATGGTTTGTGCCAAGTCAGTTTCTTAATAAATGATAAGGATCCAATTTGGGACGATTTGAGCACTGTGGAGCGAACATGTCAAAATTTGCATCAGTCGAATGGTTACCCAAGCAACACACATTCATCATAATAAGTGGCTGCAATTTGTTTGTGACTAAAATATGTTACATACAAGTAACCACAACTACTCAGTGACAAGTGTGCTGCTAGGGTAAGACCTTTACGTTAGTTGCATTAATGTCAGAGCAAATACAGGAACAGCATCAGAAGAGCAGCAAGAACTTCAGGAAATATTAGAAAACTTCAAGGTGGTTCTCAAAATTGTAGAAAGAAATTCTATGGAATGAAAGGAAATACTGTGGATTTCAGGTGAGTTTTATGAACAGACTGCAATATAATAAGGGAACTTCTGTAAATTTCAAGCATTTCAGGGAAGCTTCTAAAGCCTCAAGGTGGCACCTTCAGCTAAAATGGACCTACAAGAACTTTAAACACGTTCTATGGAATTAAGGGATTTCAAATAACTTTAGTAAAGAAAACTTTCGAAAAGGTCCGATAACTTGAGGAAAATTGTAGAAACTTTAAAAAAGTTTAGGTTAAGTTAGGTTAGGTTTCTGTATTAAAGAGACTTTCAGCCATTGGCTGGTTCATTTCTGAGATCCCCAGAAGGGGGTTCACCAACGGACAAAGTTTTAAAAAAAATTAAAAACTTATAAAATTTTGGGATCTTAGGACGGGA